TTTTTGCTTAATTACTCTAACTAATTAAGCTAATCAAATCACATCCTCGCTGTTTTTCCTCCTAAAAATCTAATTAAAGAAAACATCTAAAAAGAGAAGGCAGCCATATTGGTAGTGAAGCAAAGCAGCGAACAGCAGAAAAAAAAATGACTTGACAAACAAAACAAGTGAGAAACAAATGAAGAATACAAATATGAAAGGCGCAGGCAAACCATGAAAAGAAACAATTTAAAAAAAAAAACAAGCAATTACCCACGAAGCAAGGAAGAAGATAGGAACAGGACAAAAAAACACCAAAGAAATTAACAATGCACACCTGAAAAAAATGAAAAATCAAGCTTTATTTCCTTGAAATTCTGGTTACAAGCTGCTGCCCTTTCGTTCAATCTCTCCAATGTTCCTTCTAGGCTCGCCCATTCCCTTCCCTTCTCCCTCGATTTTTCTCCCAATTTTCCCTCCAACTTTTTCCCTTCAATTCTCCTCAATTTTCCACCTCCGATTTTCCTCCCTCAAAAGCCGAAGGTGCCCCCCTTTTTATACAGAAATAGAGAGAACTCCAATCCTTTTTCTAACTCTAAATTCTAATCCCAATCCCCAAAATTACAGATAATAATCTAATCCTATTTGAAATTGGAATCCTAAAATTAACCTAGTCTTTACACATCTTCCCTCTTTTAAGGCTAGATTCATACCTTTAAAATATCAGTACTCCCAATTTGAATCGACTTCGAAAATCTTCTGCGACTCTTGATAAGGACTTCAAATCCGAAAATCTCTTCTTGTGTTGTTGTGGTCTATCCAAACTTTGAATGGATTTAGAGATAAATCAAGAAGAATTTTGTGAAATTTGGAGATAGTCGGCGGCAAAAGGAAGAAACCCATTTTTTTGGGAAGCTAGGGTTCGACAGAACCCTGGGCTTTATTTTTATTTCAACTTACAAGAAAAACGACGTCGTTTTGCTAGTTCTCCATCTCAGCCCTTCATGCTTTACATTTTTGGCAAAAATATGACATAAGGACCCGAACTTACACCAAATTCGCAATTTCGGACCCAAACTTCAATTGCGCTCAATGAAGGTCCCGAACTCCACCAAATTCTCAAATAAGGACCCAATTGGACGGAAAACTAACTTCCGTTAAATCACTTATTATTCCGATTAATGTTCCGTCACATTTCACACCCGCCCTTGAAAAAAATTGGTTAAATGCTAATTTTGGTCCCTAAACTTCATTAAGTTTCACTTTTTTATCCCTTAACTTTATTAAATTTCACTTTTTTATCTCTTAACTTTATTAAATTTCATTTTTTATCCCTCAACTTTATTTTTTGTACTTTTTTGGTTCATAAATTATTTTTTATACTTTTTTGGTCCTTAAATTATTTTTTACACTTTTTTAATCTCTTAACTTTAATAACTGCACAATTTTGATACTTTCATCAGTTTAAGTCATTAACTCCACCCACTTGGTATTTTTTATATTTTTTTGATGACATATATAATCTAACTAGAAAAAAATGATAACATGAATAAATAATATAACATGTAAATAAATATTTATATTTTTTATAAAAAAATATAAAAAC